CACACTAATAAGCCCGAGGAATAATAGTAGTGTGCTTTGCAGGCACACTAATAAGCCCGAGGAATAATAGTAGTGTGCTTTGCAGGCACACTAATGAGGATGCAGGGTAGATGTAAGCTGATGGAAGAAGGGCAGGACTAAGCACTGATCTGATGATTCCTCACTGTTAGTCAGTTTCCTTTGAGTTCGACATGGTTAGGCTTCTTTTAAGTAGAGGTGACACAACATGTCCATGGATTGGATTGTGATATCACTAAAACAAAGTCTGAAAGACTCAAGAATTATGAACAATCAGACAATCAGACTCTTGGTTGAAAACAAGAAAAGCCAAAACGTGTCTTTGTTCACCCATCAGACTGGATTTATCGTTTAAGGTGTGACCCCATACAAACCCCAAAATAAGATTCAATAAGGTGTTTGTTCGCTGTAGAGCTCAACAAATCCCAGAATTCTACAAACGTGAAGCTAGTTCTAAAATGGAACCTGCTTTCAGAACCCATCCCCATAGATGGATCAGTGTAGCGTCAACAGTAATGCAGAAACAGTACCAGATTGTCATGGTGAAGAGGTTTACTGGCTGATCTATCACTGATGGTCTAAGCTTTTGGTAAGATTGTGGATACAAGTGTCCAAAATAGGTTCCCTTGGCAATGTTTCTGCCTTATAGACTGGGTGAGGAAGACATGGCTGTGGAGAAGCATGTATGGACTACTTTAGCTTACATTAGCTAGCTGCCAATGCCACCCAAGCCGGAATAAGTGGTGGACAATGGATGCCGATATCACTAAAAAGAAGTTGGACAGACTTTGGCTATTAAATCCAAAGGTTTAACTATTTGTTCCTTTTTTTCCCCAAAAGAATGAACCCATCAAACCAAACTAGCAGAAATGAAAACCTTGGTGTCTGACTATGAACATATATATTTCTACTTACTACGTCTGTCAGGTTCTGGACGAGTTGTGTCAGAAGAATAACTGGGGTCAGCCTGTCTATCAGCTCCACTCTGCTATTGGCCCAGACCAGAGACAACTCTTTCTCTACAAGATCACCATACCAGCTTTGGCTACACAGTACCCCAACGTGTAAGAGTTCTGCTGCTACTGCAATTAATACTGTTACTACTACTACTACTGCTACTATAACTATTACTACTAATACATGCACTCAGAGTGTTACTACTGCTGCTGCATCTGCCACTGCTGTTATGACATGAAATAGTTCTATTCTATTTCTAGAAATAGTTCTATTCTATTTTAGTGCTACTGCTACTGTTACTGCTCACACCATTCAGTGGCACTACTATTACTAGTACTCCAACTACTACTCCTACCACTCTTGCATCTACTATGGCTCCTCCTACTCTTACTACTACTACTAGTTCTACTACTTCTACTACTTCAGCAACTACTACTGCTCCCACTACAGCTCCTACTACTACCACTCTTGCTTCTACTCTTACTGGTACTGCTCCTAGTACTAATGCTGATACTATCACTATTACTACTGCTGCTAGTAACAGGTATCAAACTGCTGTTTACAGTGATTTTATACAGTCATAAAATGATAAATTTGTATTGATATAAGAAACTAAATTGTTATGCATTATCCAGCTACATTAGACTTCCAATTATACTATCTCTCTGCAGCCATCCCTTCACCCCTACTAAGCTCTGTGCGGCTGTAGAAGAAGCTAAAGTCCATGCAGCCGAGCACACCATGCAGACGCTCGGTTTGCAGACAGAGAGTGCTGCTGACGCCAGCTGTGCTACTGCTGCCGCTGTGGCCTCAGTAGCCTTTCCAGGTATGTGAAGGTCCGTACCCAAAGCCAACTAACTCTTCACTCAATAAACCAACAACAGTCTTTCAGCTCGCAGAAAGATAAAGACAACATGACTCCAAATGATGTTAAATAAAAAATTACCTCCACTTATAAAAGAGAATTAAAGCGCCACTCATAGAAAAAAATTTAAATCAATGAAAGATGAACAGCAATTGATTATAAACAGTGTGGTTCTTTATTTGTGAATTACTTTATTACCAATCTGCCGTATTGAAGTATTTACCCAGTTGGGAGTGAGAGCAAGGTTGGTCTATCAGTTTGTTTCGGAGCCAAAAACAAAATTTTATATGCAAAAGTATTTATTGCTGAATTGGTTATGAGCATTGATTAAAACACATAACACACAAAATAGATTACTAATCAATAATCAACTAACATATAGGACTCCAAACCTTACAGCTGATTGTAAAGTGAGAGACTCGTTGATAAAACTTTGCGAGTATTTGTCTCTCTCAGGTTACACTCTGGCGAGCCCGGCGGCGTCTGCGGTCACCTCCCAGCTGAAGCAGGCTGTGTCTCTGGGTCAGGATTTGACCACCTACACCACCTACGAGGGCTACCCTGCCTTTGCTGTAGCGACACGTCACACCGACGGATATGGCGTTTTCTAGAAGAGTGGTCTCCAACAAGGAAAAACATCGTAGCTGAGGATGCATTCACACTACACTGCTTTTTTGTGGGCATTTTACATTTTAAATCAGTTAAAATGTTTTAGTTTTTTTACTCATTGTTGATCACAGCGTGAACTTGCTGGGTTATTTCTATGACAACAAAAGCAGAATGGTTTGAATGCACCTTTTTGCTGCCAGTTGCATGGTGGCTGCTGTCCAACTGTGGACTTTTGTCCTGTCACGTTTTGAAAATTGTACCCCTTAAACAATTTCATCACCAGTCACATCATTTTCAGTCTTCTTATTGTCTGTCTGCTATTGCGCCTTTATTTGAATTATGTGTCCGTACATATCTGTGATTATTTTTTCATTAATTTAGTAGCTGGCCTTTGATTGGCAGTTTGAAAGTTTGAATGAATGTTTTGTCTTGTGTAGTTTTTAGTGTTTTTTTTGCCTGCTTCTAGTAGTATGTTTACAATATTCAAAAACTGAATCGGCTCAATAGATTTTGTTATTTTATGCTTTTTTGTAACTGCGTTATTATCTCTAAGAAACTGCCATTTGTTGTTCTTTTGAATGTCTTACACTTCCAGCTGCAAAATTTAGTTTTGCACCGTTTCGACCATTTCAGCGGTTTTCCTGGTAGGCTCAAACGGATGGAAAATAAGATAACAGACAAAAATCAGAGTCTGGGGTTTTAAAATGGGACACCTGTGGTAGATCGCTGAGGTATTCTGGACTTTTAGTTCTTTAAACTGTGAATATTACGCCTTTCCACCAACGTTTTGGTTTGTGCAGCTAGTTTGGAACCTTTCGGACCTGGAAAACTTGGTTCCCAACCGGAAAAAAAAAAACAGCAGGTTTTCCTTGGGAACCAAAGTGAGTGTGTCATATTCTACAGGTCATCGTGCACTGTGCAGTGCTCTTTGTTGACAATGGATTGTTGATTATAATGGTTATACACAAAACCAGTGGAAATGCAGGCTTCACTACATAGCACCAAGGTACCAAGAATATTGAACAGAACCAGTTCAAGAACCAGAGCTCAGTGGTTTTTAGAGTGTGCGCATCCGAAAAGGAATTTAATTACCATTGTGTCATAAACTGTTAACCAATTGTTGGACTAAAATATCTGATGTGTTTTACGTATACAAAAAGACAAAAGCTTGCTATCTCAGTCAGCTTTTTTAAACACTTTATTACGACTACCTGTAACTCTGTTCTACTGCTAATTTGATTAAATCTGATCAACATATTAAAACAACACCTGAATGTAAACCTCAGAACCGCAACAGAAACATTGGCTGTCGAAATGCTTCAGGTCTTCACCGTCGGGTGTGGACTTTCCCCTTTGAGTGATATTTCTTTACCATGTTTCAGTATTTTCATGTTCACATTGCGTGTTGTTTGTTCCACTTCTATGAAAAAAAGGCCAGCCAGCTGCGATCCTAGAACTCGCCATCCAATCCAATCAAAGTCCAATCATTTTTCTGTGACTTGGGCCAACATAAGCGTGAACCAACAAGCTCCCAATTAGGAAAGACCTTTGACGTCTGTGTCTCTTAATGGTGGTTACAAATAAGATGGAGCATTTTGTGAATTTGACCTGAATGAAAACTTCCTCATTGAAACAACTCTTTAAAATTTCATTTGAAAATTCAAAATGATAAGATTGGAACGTGATTGTTTTTTTTTTCTTCTCATCAGCAGCACAGATCATTCAGTTCAATTTGATATTTGTTTCTTCTATTTGTTTGTTCTTGGAGAGTTTTACAATTGATGACACATGCTGACATCCGAGCTGTGAACATGCCAAAGCAGAGACAGTATTAAAGTGTGCGAAGCACTTAGAACTTATTTTTATACCAGTAAAAAGAATATCCAGACGCTATTTGTGTGGAGATGTTTTGCACTCTCTTTGCCTCCATAATTGACCTGGAAAGTAGAAACGTGAAACTGAATCAATTCTAATCTGTGATGAACAGAGAATTGTGGGTATTTGGAGGGGTTTCATATCATAAAAGGAAACTGCATTGATACATTGTCATGTTTCATGATCCATAATCTTCTCAAAATAAAGAAACTAAAAAAATCTGTATTCTGTATTATTTTTTAATTAATTCAAATGAATACATTTTAGATCATTACACATTTTTACATTTGTTCTCTTTCATTTGGATTAAGCCACAGAAAGCCCCCACACATGGTGGCACCAAGAGCTCAACAGGCTGCCACTTAAGAAAAGCAAAAAAGCTAAAATTGCACTGCATTGAGCTGTAAGGGCCACTGTACAAATAGGCCAATTGCTGATTTTGCTACTAGCATGCTGTTGCTCAGCCCAACCCAGGTATATAATATTAATTAACATTGAGACAAATGGATTCTGTAAAACTCTCAAGGCACTCTAGACCAACAGTGAGCATGTACAGGAACTTATGCATCAGTTCCTGTACATGCTTACTGCTGGTCCGGCTTGAATTTGGAAATACATCAAGCTTTGTTTTAGATTTAATTGTCTTGCTTTGGAAACGCAGATACAATTGTGATCAGAGGTCAGTGATGTACACTATTTGATTCTTATAATAGTAACAATAATTATATTATGAATAACATATTGTTATTATATATTATTCATTAGATGGTAAAATTAACTTTATTTCATAATTTTCAGTGAAGACCAACAATTTGACACTAATTATCTCTAATAAAAATCAATTTCACAATAATACTAAGTAACTAGGACAGGACAGCTACAGGAAAGAGGTCAGTGCTGTAGATAAAGGGCAGAGGTCAGTGCTGTAGATTCAGGGCAGAAGGGTAGTTCAAGTGAAGTCCAATAATTTGATACTAATGGGTGCAAGCAATTTCACTTCACTCTTTATTACATTTGCTTGATCTTCTTTTTCTTAAGTATGTTTTTAGTGGCATGTACTTACACATTTTTGCAGATTAAGACTATTGATATTTTGACATATAAAGCCTATTAGTGCCATTCCGGTTATTATTCATCTTTTTGATATCTGTTGCAGGTAGTGAGGTATGAACATTTTACAGTATTTTTTATTTTTTTTAATTGGCCCTTAATTGGAGTCTCGTATTAGCATCAAATTCTCAAATACAAAAAATGTTAAAGAAATCAAACCTGGTACACAGGTGACCCGTGGAGATGAGCTAAATATGTTAAAGCATGTATTCAATAGCGTCACCATGTTGTTGGTTATTAAGCATTTCAAATTCCCAAATTGAAAAGTCTAAACCAATCACCTGTACATCCTACAAAGCTGAAATTCAGCACATCCACTGAATTGCGACAAAAGTTTGCTTCACTGCAACACTGCAACTGTCCATCACTCTATTGTTTCAAACAGTGTTCAGATTGGTCAAGTGAGTCTAGCTACAGAGGCTTTCCACTATTGAAATTATATTCAGCTTTTTAAAATTTTTTATACTTTTTCAATTATCACAGTTAAAATGTTTTGCTTTTTAAACTCTTTTCCTGAGTTTATTATATAATGCGCTGTTACACAAGATGCATTTTGCAGTTGAATTCCTTTAAAATCTTTACCTATGAGGATCTGCATTATTATCAATACTAATAATAATTTCATTCAATTCAGTTCAATTCAAAAGTGCTTTATAAGAATGGGAAACAGAAGTTTACATAGCCAAAGCAAGTGTGAAATAAAAAAATAAAAAAAATATACAAAGGTGATAAAAAAGCCTTTGCATTCCCCCCAAAAATATTGGTGTTAAAAGTACTTCTGGAAAGAGCAAACCAAAGCTATAGAGAAGTTCATGGAGTTTAATTTGACCTTGCCCTCAAATATTATACATTAGGTCAGTGCTCGGTTCTAGGCCTGGCTTTCAAATCAGTGAAAGACAGCTGAAGATGATCGTTGGTGCAAGGAGATATTCTCGACAGAAGACGTACTTGAGCTTGATGGACCGAGTTGATTTCAATCTGAGCGCTGATGTCTTTATATTTGAGGCTAAAGGTCAAAATAAAACTCTCTGAACCTCTTCATAGCTTCAGTTTGCCCTAAACTAAAACGTTGAGTACTTTATTTATAGATTTTCAATTTATAAAACAAAAAACGACAGAGATACAACGTATCGCAAACCCATCCCATCCCACCCACCAAGGCTCAAACAACAAAACAAACAAACAAAAAAAAGAAATAGAGGTAGGTACACAAAATATAGTTACACACATTTCCTGTACATCACTTTACACTCCTCAGAATGGGAATATCATGCAACATTATACCACATATATCCTTATAACATACATCAATAGATCCAGTTGATAGTACATCGATATGCAAAGAAGAATTACATCATGTGATGGATACATTTTCAACAAATTCTATAAAGGGGGCCAAGGTTTTAGTGTATCTGCCCTGTAAATTATTCCAATTATATCTCAACTTCTTTAATGGGATCACAGATGTCTAAATGAGGGAGGTTTCAAAGACTCCCAGTGTAAAAGAATTTGTCTCCGGGCTAGAAGGGTAATAAATGCTACAGCGTTTGCCTGGGGGACAGTAAATTGTTCTTCTGATGGGAATACCTCGAAAATAGCAACTGTTGGATCAGGATTCACTGTTCTGTCACAAATGGAAGAGACCGCTTCAAAGACCCTAACCCAGAAGTTGTTAAGTGAATTGCAAGACCAGAACATATGACCTAATTGGCAACTTACATTCACTATTTTAGAGGAATTTACAATTCGACTTATTGCCTCTCAGTTCTAACCCATATGATCGCGTGACTAAAGTAATCAGATGAGCCCTGATCAAGTCCTGGTTCAAAGTCAGCTTAGGAATACGTAGAGTGAACTCACCCCGTCCTTTATTTGGGAATAGACTCCACCCCACGGATTAAAAGAGTACCTGGAGGATGGAACAGTAGGAAGCACAGGTCCAGGCCTAACATTTTGTTGTTCTTTATACTGTCAGCTAACATCTTCCTAACGTGAAGTTACTCGGGATTTCGTAACTACGAAAAAAAAAAAGGAACCAACAAATGGGCCCTTATAATGGAGACTTAATTCCAATTCTCCACCTCTCCATATCTATCCTGAGTGGCTCACTCTACCTTGTCAGCGTGAAAGTCTTTCAAGGTTTGAGCCCCAGTTGTCAAAAACACTCTGTACAATATGCGAGTCTCCAATCTCAGCGGGAAAGATTTTCCATTGTCAGTCCCCAGGCCAGATCTCTTTGCGTGCCCGCTAGGCAAACAATCATGTTGTGTTTCCTTCCATCCCAAGATTGACAATGCCTTCCAAGTATGCATAAGAATGGCCTCAGTTATTTTGTTTCCTGGCTGACCCATCCTCTCTCTGGGTCATCGGCACCATTTAGCTTCATTTAATGAAACGTCACCAAAAAGATCAACACCTTCCCCCAACAAAAAAACGAGAGTGGCAACTGATTACTCCCATTACTGGCCGAACTGCGACGCTACACATGAAAGAAGAGGCGATGTCTGACGAACATTACGCAGAAACACGCACTGGGCATTAGCCCGTCAGTCGGATAGCACCTGCAAGAGCTGGCATGGGACACTCTTCTGCACCAGGACCCATGGGTTGGTTTACATTTTCTCTCTGGCGACGCGCGAGCTACGAGGTTGGTCAACATAGGGTTTAATCTGTTTTAAACTGGTGTTACATTTACACCGACCACCTCTATTAGCGACGTATATGCATGCTTTTTTTTTTCATATTTAAAAATTGTTGCATGTCTGGATTGCTTTATTTCACTTCTGTGATAGAGACTGCCATTAATTTATTTATTTTTCGATTCGTTGGCTATCTAATCCTGGCTGTGTCCATGGTGTGGCACAGTCACCAACTAAAAAATTAA